CTGCAGCTGCTTCCCACCCGGGCCGAGCGCGCGGAAGAGCATCTTCCAGGTGGACCAGAGTTGCCAGGAGGCCCTGGGGCCCGGCCCTCCCAGGACACTCCAGGAGGCCAGGGGTCAGTCCGCATCCAACAGTCCAGACTGAGGCTGCCCTGGCCGGCGGCTCCGCTGGTTAGAGCCTCGGCCGGATAGGCCAAGGCTGCCGGTTCGATGCCTGGTCAGGGCGCATGAAACACTAATCCGTGAACCGATTTGCATCCAGAAGAGGAACAACAAATCCATGTTTCTCTCCTTCTCCTTCCCCTCCTTCTCTCTCAAATGAATTAAGTACAAATTTTTAAAAAATAAAAGTCTAAAATCCAACACGCTCCCTGCGGCTATAAAAACTCACAGACAGCCCGGCTGGGTGGCTCAGTGGTTGAGCATCGATCGACCTATGAACCAGGAGGTCGAGGTGTGATTCCCCATCAGGGCACAAGCCCGGGTTGTGGGCTCGATCCCCAGTGTGGGGCGTGCAGGAGGCAGCCGGTCCATGACTCTCTCTCCTCAGTGATGTTTCTCTCTCTCTCTCCCTCTCCCTTCCTCTCGGAAATCAATAAAAACAAAACAAAAAAAACACATAAATAGCCCTAACCGGTGTGGCTCAGTGGATAGAGCGTCGGCCTGCGGACTGAAGGGTCCCGGGTTCGATTCCGGTCAAGGGCATGTACCTTGGTTGCGGGCACATCCCCAGTAGGAGGTGTGCAGGAGGCAGCTGATCGATGTTTCTCTCTCATCGATGTTTCTAACTCTCTATCCCTCTCCCTTCCTCTCTGTAAAAAATCAATAAAATATATTTTTTGTTGCGGGCACATCCCCAGTAGGAGGTGTGCAGGAGGCAGCTGATCGATGTTTCTCTCTCATCGATGTTTCTAACTCTCTATCCCTCTTCCTTCCTCTCTGTAAAAAATCAACAAAATATTTTTTTTTAAAAAAACACATAAATAAATGGGAACGGGACACAAACTCTCGGGCACGTTCTCCTTCGAGGGAGGGGGAGCGATGGGGAGAGGGGCCCACGGGGCCTCCTCAGTGTGGGCCACCCTGTTCTTCCGACGGGAGATGTTCCTGTGAAATGCTTTCCACGGTCCGTGCGTTAACCACACCAGGTTCACTTCCCCCCGGGGCGTCTGCGAAGACGCCACCTCACACGGAAGTCCCCGCTCGGGGCCAGGGGTTCCCGAGACTTCCCAGCCCGCAGCCCGAAGGGGTCACCTGCTGCCGCCAGGGCGGACGTCAGGCCCTGGACTTCCCCGCCTCACAGGGCAGCTGCTCCTTCCCCAAGGCGGGCACTGTGGGTGGGGGGGGCAAGGGGATCCCCGGCCCCCAGCCAGCTGGGGTGGGAGTCACACCTGACAGCCACAAGTCACACACACACACACACACACACACACTCCTCCCAGGGCTCCCCACTCAGAACACCTGCCCCGGCTCCCAGGTGAGGCCCCACTTCTCTCCTGAACCCCGAGCACAAGGCGGGGTCAGCGCTGGGCCAGGACCAGCTCAGGCCCCCGGGCCTGGGCCTCTGGCTGGGACCAAGCTCTGCCCACACCCAGGGTTCTCAGGGGGCCTGTGTTTTCATCCCGGTTTAGGTCTGTGATCTTTTTAAAATATTTTTATTGATGTCAGAGAGGGAGGGAGAGGGCAAGAGAGATAGAAACATCAATGATGAGAGGGAACCATGGATCGGCTGCCTCCTGCACGCCCCACCCTGGGGATGGAGCCCACAACCCGGGCTTGTGTCCTGACCGGGAATCGAACCGTGGCCTCCTGGGTCATAGGTCGGCGCTCAAACCCTGAGCCACGCCGGCCGGGCTGGGTCTATGACCTCTCTGGGCCTCCTGACCTTGACTGCAGCGCTGAACCGGGGTTTATGGAGTTCACGCTGCTCAGCCCAGGCTCAGGGGACCCCCAGGCCAGCTCAGGGGGTGAGGGGTGTTGTGGGAGCGAGAGCCTCGCCCTCACGTCACGGCGGCAAACTGTGGGGCTTGCGGGGAGAGCCTGGCTAGGCCGGGAGAGGAGGCTGCCGTCTGTCCACACGGGTCCCGGCCGCCTGTCCTGGGCTCGGTAGCGGCTCACCCACCCGGAACGAAGCTGCCCCTCTGGCTGTCCAGCCGGAGTCTGCGGGGAGTCTGACCGGCTTCGCAGGGGGCCATTGGGGCTAATGTTTAACCGGCTCCCTCCTCGTCGGGGCACTTTAGCCCCAGCAGCCCTGGCGGGGGCGGGGGGGAGGGGGTCCTGCGAGGCAGACGCCAGACAGACAGTGCCCACACCCACTCCCACCCCCCAGGAAGGGACAGCGTGGGGAGGGGCTGCAGCCGGCAGGCAGGGGAGTGGCAGGTGGCACAGACCCATCGCCAGCTGCAGGCGGGCGCTCCCAGCTGCTGTGTGC